CTCGAGCAGTAAGTGGGCGGAAGGCGATCTGCGGCGACAACGTTTGCGCCCAATCGCTGAGTTTCTATCCAAAATGATTCCAAATGCCCACTTTCTACCTCAAAACTTTTCATATAGCTTTAACACCTCTTTCAACCAATTCACGAACATCCAACGAAATTTGGGTGGCAAAATAACAATAGAAAATAATGGATGCTTAATTTCACTTAATCATTACGTAGTCATCGACATTCTATTCGTTGAAAATTAGTCGAGAATCTAAAATCAAAATTCTTTTGTACCTATAAGGTTTAATCTTATCATAGGGAACCTTGTAGAAGAAAAAAGAGTTTGATTCCATGTGGTGCTAGCACTATTGCAAGATAATGACACATGAATGGGTTTTGTGAATCATGAACATTTTCATTACAATCAATTCCTTAATACCTTTATTTACTATATTTTTGCTTGATTTGGGTGTTTTGTGTAACTAATTATGATGATCAATATATTCCAATTCTATGTGGAATCTATGGGACAAATGCAAGACAGCTTCAAAGAATGTGTTGACATGCCTGTCTTGTTCCAAAATGTAAATGGGGGATGATGATGACTTCTACACACTTCTAAAGGGTGTTAAAATTCAAAGTGTCCTCAACACTGTCTAGTGATCAATTCGTAACGGAATTCTCTTCTGAAAGACTCGCGCAACCTATTGCAATATTAATAAGAAGAAGATCGATGCAAAAGGAAGACAAAAAGGGATTTCAAGAACTAGGGGCTTGTCTGATGGCAATTTCAATCCAAATTTTAAGTAGTTATTGGACTGTTAGTAGCCTCCATTGTTGACTTCCTTCACACAATTTAGGCAGGCGTGGCACCCACTAACGGTCAGAATTCTGCTTTTAATTTCCTCCACACAAGCCCCTATCGATAATGACTTTAGCATTCGCTCGAAGATGCTTCTCCTCTATAATCAAATTAATTTTCATTAACGAAAACAATATACGTAGTATTGTTATTGAGTGGGGAACTAGAATATGACTTGAGCATTTCATCGAACAGTTTTAAGGCATCATCCACATTGTCGCCCATTCTAAACTATGTGAACACGTGTAATTCCTAATTCTACGCGCATTTGACATTCACATGACTTAAAACTGGGGGAGTAAAAGTTTGGCGACTCCTAGTATGATTAACCTAATACCAGTGGGTTGCCACGTATGTAGACCTTAGTTTTAATGGCCATGTCAACAAATTCCGTTACACCTTAGAGTCCGTTTGATTGCAAGAGTGGAATTTGGACGAAAAGAAAATAAATTCCATGGAATTGAATTGCCTAGAATTGTTTTCCTGAGAACTGTCAATTAATTGTGTTTGATTAGTATAATTTTTCATATAAAAAATATTGAAATTTTGGATCTTTTGGTGTTCGTTTTACTTTTTTATACATGAAAATTATCTATTAAAGGGGAAAAAAATTTTTAATTGGGGATAGAATTTGTAAATCGCCAAAACCATGGGAAAGAAAATTCAAGGAAAATGGTGTCATGTGAGGTGAAGTTGGAAAAGGAATTGCCTTGAAAATTTTGGCTATCAAACAACCAAAAAAGTGAAAAATGAAAAATAATTTCCAACTTCTATGGAAAATTCTACACATCAAACAGGGCCTTAGCGTCACACTAGGAAGTGATTTAATTGCCGTTAAATTTGAAGTTCAGCGACCTGATTGCAGCTGGAATCAAAGTTTGGTGACCTCCAGTACAAGGGGAATAAAAAAAATAATGGACCAAACTCATTCAATCGACAATAGTTGAAAATGAAGCTTAATTTGTTGTTATTGTAAGCTCTATTCGACTCGCATTATCATCTCACAGGAAAATAAAAAAAAAGAAAAAGGATATTTGGAAACATTTACTTGCCTCTTCTCTACTAACACTAAGAAACAAACTGAATCTTTCAGGAATTCCACAATCCCACAACAAATGTTTGACCAAAATCTTCTATCTTAAACTCTGATAAATCCCAGGACTGGTTATGCATTGCACATGTTTAGATACCCCAAATGAACACCCAATGCAGTGAATATTCCAGTTTTGAAGAAAAAAACCAAGTAGTCTCTATATTCTGGCTACTGCTCAAACTCGATTGTGTCTATTCGTCTTGTGATTTTGTAGCTACGAACTTTTGAGCTGCATCAGCTGCTGCAGAGGCTGCATCACCTAAACCCGACTTCTGTAACTGGTGCGTAAAAGCATCAATTTCCTTAGCACAAATTTTATAAGGGCTATGGGCCAAGCTAGGAAAAGAACCATTTGTCACTTCTTCCTTGTACTCCAGAAGAGCTTTGTTGATGATATCTCCAACATGAGAATACTGTTTGCAGAACTTCGGAGTAACCTGTGACAGTGAAGCCAATCCATACCATGCAATGTACATTTAATCTTCCAAACACAAATATTCAAAGATGAAGAATGAATTGTTTGATGAGAGATGGGGAATAGTGGTATTAACCTTGGCATGATGTGGATGTTGCAACATCCCAAGCAGGTCATGATAAACTAGCACCTGCATTCACAAATTGGATTTTATTGCATCATTAACCAATAAAATAGTATTGAAACCGTAATTTATGTTAATGATGGGTGTAGGATCTGCGAACTAGACCATAAACATAGATTCGGCACTGTGCATTTTAAGGCGCCGCATAAAAAGTCACCCTCTTCAATCACAATGTAAGAAGAATGAGGAATGCATGGGGTCAGTTCTACTAAAGATGCCAAGAACATTTCTCAAATTAATAAGTTCAACAAATTCATTCATCAGCAGAAAAAAATTGTTCTGAATTACACAACTAACTGCAGTAGCTCGTGTATAATAACTAACAAAATATATTGCTCCAAAAACTGGGAAATATAGGCAATATTTACAAGTTCTATTTGTAAGTTTGCATAAAAGGTGATGCGGGTTGATGTTTCCAACTCAAACAAAGAGCAATACTAATGGTTTTCATTCTTGAGATGATTACTCGATGGCATTGCCACTCAACCACCACAATTGCATCACCACCACACAGACACACTAGACAAACAAGTGAAAAAAGGGGGCAAAAAAGGGGAAAACAAAAGCGAGTTGTTACCTATACGCCATTGAAATAGGAACCTGGTCAGGCTTTTTTCACAATGTACAGTTCTTTATTTTAAAGAGTGTGTATGTTACATAGATAAGCAAGTTCAGTATTATAGGCAACAATTCTAAATTGAAAAGCTAGTCTCTTTTGCTAAATTGCATGGTGGACACAATATTCATGTCAATTGAACATGCAATACATAATAAACAAAATTAAAACGTAAACATTATAATCATAGCATCATGGATTTTAAATTCCCAAAAGAAACAGAACATAAGTAGAACAAGTCTAAGTCATTCCTCCAGGTCCAAAATGAAAACTGAGATATGCATATACTGACCTGACCACTACAAAAAGGCCCAGCACCTATGCCAATGGTCGGTATCTTAAGAGCCGATGTTGCTGCAGCAGCCACAGGTGCAGGAACACATTCTAACACAACAGAAAAACACCCTACTTCTTGCAAAGCCATGGCAGTCTCCACTACCTGCATAGCATAAGGTACAATGGCCCAAGCAACAAGAGTTAACGTGTGTAGCCACTGGAAGCAGACTCAGTGAAAAGTCATTTGCATCACAGAGGTTGAATTGCTTACTATAATATCATTAATATCGCATAAAAGTGTTGTATTTGAGCAGTGCTGAGCGGTATAAGCACGTTTAGACAAGCAGTTAATAATGAATTTTTGAAAATAAGTTACTTTTTGACAGTAAGGCAAGAGTACCTTTCGGGGAAAAAAAAACTTCTTTTATGTATCTCCAAGCGTGTTTTGGAAACTAAAAGTATCTTTTACCTTTTTCTTAAGCTTAGCAAAATGTGCACTAAGAAACTTTCTTTTAAAAAAAATAAAAAAAATAAAAATTATAAGTCAAAATTGAAAAAAGTAATATTCCCAGTTACGCTTAGGAAACATGCTCTAAATGTTAAATACTACCTTGACTGCACTATCCACATTTCTTCCTTGAGGCCTGAATCCTCCAAGAACACTAATGGCCTGAGGGGTGAGCCCAACATGCCCCATCACAGCAATTCCAGCTTCCACAATAGCTTTTGCAGCTGTAATTCTTGAAGGTGCCCCACCTTCCAATTTAATTGCATCCATCCCTCCTTCCTTTAGAACCCTTACTGCTGTATCAACTGCCTGCTCATAGTTCATATTGCAACATCACCAACCATTCTATATTCAAACCGGAATGCAGAGCAGTTTACTACCAATGTAAAGAATGCAACCTTACTTCAGAGGAAAAGGGAACAGTATCAGGTAATAACCTCACATTCAGTATGTAATTTATGTGCACGGCGTGGATTCACGAAGTACATCTTTATCATCTCAGGGAGATGGAATTCAAGAGCGACGTATCATCAAATCTTCTTTCGGGTCTAGTCGCAATATCAATACTGTAAAACCTCTTCTCAGAAACCAAAAAAAAAAATGGTAATTGCTTGGGGTATGCTAATCAAGAATCAAAATGGTCTTGTCCAGCCAGAGCAAGGGACAATCCATAAAGCTACGAAGTTATATACTTCAATGTGCACAGTGGAATGAAATTTCTTAAAAGAGTTAGTCTCCAATGTTCTGCCCAAGTATTTAGCTTTATCAATTGGAAAATTCGATTTGCTAATCAAAAGTTGTGATGGTTCCTATGCGATTGAGGTGCTTCTTCCTTTGAAATGGAGTTCCATTCTGTACAATGATTCACATTATGTGATTTCGTATTTAACATTCGGCTTGTTTTGGATAGAAAGATCAATATCACACCCCATGAACCATTAAATTCAAAATAAACAGCGAAACAAATTGATCATCCTACAGCTACACGTGATCACTTTAGAAGAAAAGGGATAATAACAAAATCAATAAATGTTTTAGTTAGAAAAAAAGGGCTAATCACAAGTTCTTGTGGTTCCTACGCGGTTGAGATGCCTTTGAAATGATGTCCCAGACTATACAGTTGTTTGGCACCATTAGACTAGAGAAAACAAAGGACACGTCCTATTCATAGGACTCAGATTATGTGATTTCGTATACAACATAATCGGCTTGTTTTCGGATAGTAAGAACAACAATACACCCTATGAACCATTTAATTCACATTAGAACAAAAGGATTAACAACAAAATCAATAAATGTTCACGATAAGAATTAATAATATAATTCACCGTCAAAGAAGATTAAGCCATAATACCTGCTGAGCACTTGACTCATAAGTCCCAAAAGGCAGGTCCCCAACAAGGAGCGGCCGCTTGGCGCCGCGTGCCACCGCTCGACAATGCACAAGCATCTCGTCCATGGTGATCGGCAAAGTGGTGTCATGGCCATGAACCACCATCGACGCCGAGTCACCCACTAAGCAAATATCAATCCCCGCAGTATCCAAATGCACCGCCGAGGGATAATCATAGGCAGTCACCATCGTTATAGACTCATTCTTCTTGTACTTTTGGCGTAAATTGGTTAGTGTCACTCTCTGGTTCGGATTCTGGGGCTGTGGCCCGCCATAAACACTGCTTTCTGGGACATTGCTCATGCATCTCGAAAGGGTTGGCATAAAATTTGAATTTCTTTTAACCAAACAGCCACGAAGAGTCTTGGAGATTGAAGAGAAAGATGCCATTTTGAAAAATCCAAATTGAATAGTCTGAAGGGGTCAAAAGCAGGCTTAAATGGGCTGCGCCACCAGCAGAAGGTAGGTAAGCGGTGGTTCTTGGAACGTGGGACGGATGAGTTTTTTTTTTTTTAATAATAGAACCTAACAACAATGGATTTGCTATTGATGGTAAGTTGTAGATAAGAGTCAAAACTCAAAACCAATTTGCATTTTTGCATTTGAAATAAATAAATTAAATAGAACACACTTGGCACTCCATTAATGCATTAGAATATGGATAATGCTATTTACATTAGGTAAAACACGAGAAATGATCTGACGAGTATCAGTGCCCATCTTATACTAAACACACGTGTCATTAGATCATTTTTATGAAAAATATTATGTAAATAGTTATGTATAACAAGCATTTTTCTTATACAATTATTGTTGACAATTGTGGTCGACAATATTGATGTTATCAAAATTTGGACTAGTGATTTAAAAATAGATGTACGTGATTTTGCCAAATATGAGTTGTCAAAGAAACTTGTAAAAAAAAAATAATAATAAATTTGTTATTTTCACATGATGATATCACGTGAATGTTAAAACTAATTAAACTAACGAGCATGAGATGCACTTTATTGGTATTATCATTTAATTTTAAATACGCCAAGATTATCCATAATGAGGGTAAATAAAATTACTCTTGAACTCCAATGTAAAGAAAATGTTATTATTGAAATATTTGGGAAATAATTAATGAGTGTTTTGGGTTGCAAGACATAAGGGGTTGCATCAAGCCCTCGGAGCCCCATGTTGATCTACATGATCGGGCTTTTTTTTAGAGGTGATGAAGTTGTACATATAACTCTATAAAACTATTTCAATACGAGCTTTAAAAATAAGAATGATGCTACATGTACACCATGCTTGTACGACATGGTGTACACTCCTCTCACATAGAGGGGGTCCACAAATTTTTTATTCATGGAGGCCCCATGCCGTATGGCATGGTGTACAACCATCATTTTCCTAAAAATAAATATTTTTCTTCTGAGTCTCCATTTGGCATAATTTATAAATTGTCAAACTTCATTTGGCATGAAATGGTCCTCTGATAGATTGTTCATATACTATAAATAATAGGGTGACCTAATAAAAGCTCCTTGGCAAGTTTTTTCAAATGAAAAATGATTTTTTGGAAAGGTGGAAAAAAGGTTATGGATCTCATAGAATGTACGATACAAAATGATTTTTGGTAAAAATAATTTTAGAAAAACTCGTGCTAAATGTATGAATGTCCAATAGGCTTATCTGCAGTCCACATAAACACAATTTGAAAGGGCTCCACACAATCCAACATGGGTATGGTGGTAGCTCGATAATTCGTAGGTGTCTCACTATTTGCGTACCTGGTATTTCCAAGTTTCTAATACGACATTATATCTTGATGCAGGTGCTGTGTATTACGGGGATATGTATTTTAACTTTGAGATGGCCTTGGATACGAATACAGGCACTCTAGTTTTAGAGATGGAGGTCAGCTGGTCAAGTTTTGAATCATTTGCTATGAATGTTGAATGGAAAAAAGCCTTTGTTCTACTATGGTAACCCATTTTCACTTACTGTTTTTAGTGAAAATGCACGACAATTCCATGATTTATTGGCCTCTAGCATAAAACCCATGTTGTCGAATCTTGAGTGAATTTTTCTATATTTTCTTACTACTTTTATTTCTATTAGAATAGGTATGTTATAGGACGTTCTATTAGTAAAATATGTGACTTTAGCGTTTCAATTGTGGCCCTTCTGTTATGCCTTTTAAGCTACTTTCAAGGCTTCACTCAACTTTCTAAAACTAAGTGCATCTTTTAAGTCGTCATTAGTTTTCTAGCAAAAGAAATGTACTTGGAAGTTTCGAAGATCTGAAAAAAACTACGTTTTTTCTTCGTTACAATAGGTTGAACCATATCAGCATCATCATTAGGGATGGAGAGGAGGGACTTCCAATGAATGCATCAATAGTAGACGACGAAAAGCTCTTATTCGCAGCAAAATTTTATCCCTTCCTGACCTTGTCAAGTACCCCTGGCTTTTCATCAGAACACGACGCGGCCTGGGTGAGATCAGAAACAAGTGTTCGGAAATGAAAAGTTAAGACCATATGTTCCCGGTTTATTCACCGGTTTTCACCTAACGAGGGTAGTACATATTTAGCCCTTGTTTGAGGCTTTGAGCCCCATTATATATAAAATTTGTACAGTCCAAGGAGAAACCGAGGGAGAAGTTGACAACTCTGGTGTTATGAAGCATTAGAAAAACAAATTCAAAGCTTCCACTAAAGAAATTCTATGGATGTGAATCATTTACTTAACCACTCGGCGGAAGAAGAATGTGTTACACTCTAATTGAAGATGATATCATCATTGCTAACTGCACCAAGGCAAAATAATGATGGCGTGGTTGAGATAGATAATAGCAACAGCTATACACATAAGGTACCTAAAATCTCTATGAGTGTCTGTCGAAATTATAAATTTAGTTGAAACATTTTGGTTACGACAAGAATGTGATCACAAATACTTCTTAGTGACAAATCAAAAGATGAAGGAATGGAGAAAAAAATCTCGAACTTGGTGGTCTTGTGCAAACTAGCAACTCTAGTACTATTCTAGTTCTTAAGCATCGATAGTGCTACATAGCATTATTTCAATCACAAGGGATTAGTGTGGTGTAAGTAGTGATATGTCATGCCACGTGAACGATAGGGGGGTATGGCTATAAGAGTGCTAGTGGGTATGGTTGGTATGTAATCCGAGAAGGTGAGGGAGTTTTGGTGGTTGAACTAACAAAGGGCATTAGCATGCACATGTCGCCATAGGATGCAGCGGCCATGGCTTTCCAGGAGTTCCTCATTCTCGCCAAAAAATATAGGACTGATTGTGAACGAAGTGGAATGTAATGCATTGACACTAGTGTGGCAAGTTAAATCACGTGGCTCTTTTTTCAAATGCTTCGACTTTTTTAGATATTGTAGCTTTGCTTCGGGAAGTAAATTGTGGTTTGTTGCTGTTATGGTAGAGAGTATTTTCTGCAATGAATATTGTCAAGAATCGACTACATAATTAGATGGGAGATCAATGATTAAGTAATAATTTGATGGGATGTATTAAGAATCATGTATTCGACAATTTTGGGTTTTTGAAGGCTACCTTAACTTTGGAATTAATCAAGGATTCCAGTAATCAAAGATGCACCAGCAGGAGAAGAAGAAAATGTCCAATTTTCCAGCTGACCGGATTTAACATTAGCTAACCGGATTTGCCTTTCTCTTACCATATTTGCACAAATACAATAAGACGGTATTGAACCAACAAGCTTTAAGAAAACGATTAATAGCAAGAATTAAACATTGAGAATGGATTTAAACAGGAAGAAAACCTCTTCCTCGGCCTTTATTAACCCAAGACTAACGTGATTTACAAAACCAGAAATCACCAGAAAGTTTAATACCAGATTTACAAGAGTTCATCCCTCTAATCTATCTCACTTTCTCTTCTCCTTTTACACTCTCGAGAGACTTGCTTTTCTATCACCTAACCAGGCTATTTATAGACACAATACAAGAGTCATTTCAGCTATTAACTACCACCTAACAACTAAGGCTCCAGTTGGTTGAAAGATTCCAACTAACTCAGTTGCAAACCGGTAAATTGAAGGCTCCAGCTTGCAACAGTTTTTCTGATTTGCTAAGGTTGTCTAATTCTACTTCTTCAAGAATCAATTTCCTTTACAGACAATATTGTTAATAATGTAATTGTACGACGTTTTCAAAACATGAAAACGTGTAGGCTACAATTATAGTGTTATTGACCTTTTTTCATTAATGTATACTGTTTGATAAAAAAAAATGCATTTTAAATTTTGACCCCATAATACAAAAAGTCTAGCTCCGCCCCTACGTTCAAATAAATTGCCTATTACAATGACATTTACAAGGATGTTTTCTCCCGCAACAACCGAATAAAATTGCAGCATATATTTGTTATCTGGGAACCGTTCACAATTACATTAAAACAGTTTGATAATTTACATACTTTTAAATTTTTTAATACTCAAAATATATATATATTTTTATAATTTGTTATTTTTATTTTATAGCACAATATTTTACAATTTGTAAAATTAAGTTATACAAATTTCACCACCCTATTTTCAAACACAATCACTACCCCACCATCGTCGCCGTCATCACTTATAACACAGTGTGTTACAGACATTTTGCCAAATATTTCTATCGTCACCATGATGGTCGGCAATACCACCACCACCACTAATGTCATCATTAGTAATATTTATTGTTACATCATTATTGGCTGCCTCATCACTTGTAACATTTATTATTACACTACCATTGCCGTCATCAATGGACAACTATTGCCACGATGTGCCATCATCATTATTGCAATCACCACCACCACAATCAACGACTACTCCTAAACATTAGCACCACCTCCATAGGCTCTACAAACCCAAAACCAACAAAAAAACCCATCATCACTACCATCAATGCAACTCCAACCCAAATTCAATTTAAAAAAATCTTAAAATAAAACACGCTTCAGAGGAGTCTTGTTGCTTCGTAGATGTAGCCCTAATAAAACCCTTGAATCCAAACCAAATTGGGAATAGGTTTTGACATAAATTATCATCAAGAATGAGAGATATTGATTAATATAAGGTCGAAGATTAAAAAAAATTGACGAAATAAAAAAGATATGGACATGAGTGTTATGGTAAGAAAAAATGAGGATCTTAAATGCAATTTAAATGTAGTGCAAATAATAAAAAGTATGGTGTGAATTTCCCATTTTTCAATATGACCTCGAAGTTCCAATCAATTTTTCTTGCACTTCTCATATTGTATGTTTGTCAAAAAATTTAATTGCTCGTAAGTAGCGAGTCTCAAAAAATGTGTATTTAAAATTAAGTAAAAGTTTTAAATTCTACAAAACGTGTTG